AAAATAAGTTGCACGCTCACACTCACACACATATATACATATAACTAAGTTTAATTACATTTCTATACAAACTTTAAAATAAGTTGCACACACAGACTTTAAAATAAGAATGGGCATATAGTCATGCACTTTGATCCATCAATATCATATAACTGTATTATTTTTGTTAACATTCAATGTAATAGTACACACTAGTTGTTAGACATGTCCGATGGATGAGGAGGACATATATATATATATATATATATACATTACAACACAAGTGAAACAAAAAAAAATATTATTTTATGAATTTTTTATTTTTATAAACTGTATAATCATGACTTCATTGAAAAATATATAATAAAAACATCAATAATACTTGACCAAATGAATGCAATGATAATTTATTTGACTCAAAATTTTGGTTAACATTCCAATTTGTAATAGTACATTTGACATACAATTCAGATGTAATTCTTACGTATATCGTGTCGCTATGAAACTAAACAAAAAACAAATCAATACATACTATTGCAATTGTTAGGAGTCTAATTATGCAAACACAATTCGTACTTATAGTATGCTATGGATGGTTTACCATTGTTCATTTATTATACGTAATGTCAATAATAAATTGTGCATTAGTTTGAAAAGATAAACGTATATACACGAGTATAGATAATAAGATTATTTAAGGTATCAACGACTATTGATAATCTTAAATTAATTGTCGAATATGCTTATTAAATGATATTATTCTTTCCGTCTTGAAATTATTGCCCAGTTTAGATTTTTATTTTTAGTTCAAATTGTACTAAAAGTAAAATACAAACTGGATAATAATTTGGGAACAGATTGAGTAAACAATAGCTGTTACTTTATTTAGAACGTAGAACACATGCTATAGTTAAATAGTGAATTAATTAGTTTTGTCTATTACATTAAATAATGAATTAATTGGTTTTCTCTGTTATACACACATTATATGGAGGTGTCATATATTGTAAAAATGAAAAGTTTGACAAACATAAAACTCAAATAATTTATACGTAGAAAATTATATAACTTTTAAGTAGTATGAACAATTAGGCACAAGAATAAATCACCAACCCTTGCACTATGTTTTGCACCAAATATGATATAAAGATAGAATATTTCAAGCATTTTTTTTTTACCAAACTCATTGCACTTTAACCTTATTGCATGAAATTTATAAATGCTTCAGTTTGAATTTTAAGACTTCGACTCTCCAAAATTTGTTTGGTTATTATTCTATTAGGATGTACAATTCTAAGGAGACAATGTATACATTATAATTAATTTCTTTTAAGACTTCAACTCTCCAAAATTTGTTTGGTTATGTAGCTAAGTAAACTGTTAATGAAGTGATATGGTGCATGAGGATTTTGCTAAAGACCCTCGCAGCATAAGGTTAGGTCTTGCTTCTGATGGATTCAATCCATTTGATATGAGTAATTCATACAGTATTTGGCCTGTGTTCCTTGTCCCTTACAATTTACCACCATGGAAATGCATGAAAGATCAGTTTTCGATTATGTCAATGTTAATTCCTGGACCAAAATCTCCTGAGAAAGATATTGATGTATATTTGCAACCTTTGATTGATGAGTTGAATGAATTGTGGGATGGTGTTGAGGTTTATGATGCATATAAAGAGGAAACATTTATATTACGTGCTTTGCTATTATGGACAATAAATGATTTTCCTGCATATGCCATGCTCTCGGGTTGGAGTACACAAGGATACTCTGCATGTCCTGTATGTATGAATGATACAACTTGTATACATTTAAGAAACAGTTCAAAACGGTGTTATATGGGGCATCGTAGGTTCTTGCCGAAAAGTCATCGGTGGCGGAAAAATGAAACATGCATTTGATGGAACTAGTGATATGAGAGATCCAATTATACTCTATTCAGGAGAAGATGTTCAAAGAGAGTTGCAACTCCATGCGCATGAGTTTCCTGCTTTTGGAAAGGGGAAAAAGGTGATTGAGGAGGTACAATCGAAGCAAAAGCGGCAACCAAAGCATAAGCGGCAACAAAAGAAGAATAATACGGAAAATATGAAATGGACAAAGAAAAGTATATTTAACATTGATATCATGCATGTAGTGAAAAATGTGGCTGAGAGTTTAATTGGAACAATTATGGACATTCCTGGAAAAACAAAAGACACATGGAAGGTTCGAGAGGATTTGAAGGAACTAAAACTTAAGGAGGACCTACATTTAAAGCAAAATGGTGATTCTTTTATGATGCCTAGGGCGTCTTACCACCTAACAAAAGAGGAGAAGGTAAAAATAACTGATTTTCTGGCATCAATAAAATTTCCAGATGGCTTCGCTTCAAATATTTCTCGTTGCATAAAGAATGGAGAATTTCAATTGTCTAGTATGAAAAGTCATGATTATCACATTTTTATACAACGAATTCTCCCTGTTGCAATCAGAGGCAGTTTGACCAAGGAAGTTCGGCAAGTAATATTTGAGCTTTGTTCTTTTATTACATTGTGCTCAAAAACTGCTTACCGGGACGTTTTAGAAGCAGAAGAGGAAAACATAGCAATCATACTGTGCAAGCTAGAAAAGTTGTTTCCTCCATCTTTCTTTGATATAATGGTCCACCTTTTGGTTCATTTACCTTCAGAAACAAAGGTTGCCAGTCCACCCCAATTTCGATGGATGTATCCAATCGAGAGGTATTCTTTGTTAATCTTACTTATTTTTTTCTTTAAAAGTTTTTATACAACTAATATTTTTTTTTCTATTATTGAGTAGGAAAATGGGGACCTTGAAGGGATACGTAAACAATAATGCAAGACCCGAAGGTTGTATAGCCGAGCGATATTTGGATAAGGAATGTTTGACTTTTTGCTCAATGTATTTACACGATGTGGAAACAATGTTCAACAGAGTTGAGCGCAATAATGATAGGCCAACATCTAATGAAGAATATACTGTATTTTCTACCTCTGCACGTCCATTTGGTGCAGCGAAATTTGGAACCTTAACTCGGCCAGAATTAGTCAAGATACATGCATACATATTAAACAACTATGACGAAGTTAATCCATATACAATGTGAGTGCACTTTTACTTTTTTTCCTTTATATATATTTTTTCACATCTTTACATAATTTCATCTTATGTCAGTGAGCATAAAGAAAAACTCGAGAAAGAGAGTTATCAAAACATAGATCAAAGACATGAAAAAGAATTTTCCCATTGGTTTTGCCAGCAGGTAAATGAAATTTAGTTTTGAATATTAATTTCAATAATTTTGCATATTTTTTCAAACTTTTGTTAACAACTAATATACATATGTATATATATATATATATATATTGACAGGTTATGTCTTCAACAAATACGTGCCCTGATGAAATACGATCATTGGCATTAGGCCTGGATAATAGAGTTACACGATATAGTGGTTGCATGGTAAATGGTTATAGATTTCACACTCAGTCACGTGAAAAAGAAAGGAAGACACAAAATAGCGGGGTTGTTGTTGAGGTTATACACGGGAACAACGCAATTGACTTTTTTGGTGTTCTACAAGACATCATTGAGGTTGAATATCTTGTTGGAAAATGCAAAGTAGTGCTATTCAAGTGCGATTGGTGGAATGTGGAAAATTCATCAGGTATGCAAATTGACAAAGAATCAGGACTGATAAGTGTCAATTTTTCAAAGAAATGGTACAAGACCAACCATATATACTTGCATCATAGGGTATTCAAGTATTCTATATGAAAGATATGAAATTGAATGGTAACTGGTTCATTGTTCAAAAATTTAATCCTCGAAGTTCATATTATCTTACGACCCCTGAAGATGAGGAGTTGAGTGAAGAAATAGACCAACAAGAAGAACCGGAAGTAAATGTGGTAATCGATTTAGATATTGAAAACCCTTCGCTGTCAAGATCTGGTTTACCATTACAAACGGTTGATTCATCATGTGTCCATGATCTATCCAACGATGAAGCTGAAGAAAATGTTGATGCATTCAATAATGAAGATGAAGATAATAGGGATGGTGTAGAATCATCTGAAACATAATAGCTTTTCCATTTTTTGAATCTATTTTTTTTTATAATTATATGGTTCTTTTTTTGGTACTTTCAATTGATATTGTGCCTATGAATTACATTCATGAAAAGGTTATATATATATATATATATATATATATTTCATTTATTATTTCAACTCTAAAAAGTTAATATGCCTATGAATTACATTTATGAAAAGGTTTTATATATATATATATATATATTTCATTTGTTATTTCAACTCTAAAGTTAATATACTAATTATGTGAAAACGAATTTTCTTTCTGCAAAACAAAAGAAATTTTTAATTGAACATAAAACTCAAATTTGTTCGTTTAGTCTAATTTAGTTTACAATAGTTTTTTTCATTTTTTGGTAACATATAGTGTCGACTTTTCATGGCCATTACTGTAAAATATGTTAGTGACAGCAAAATATCATCACCATATCTTTGAATTATGGCTTCTATAGTGACGATGGCAAATAGTCATCAAAACAATGGTCACTAAGGTTGGTCATTTAGACGCGAGTCTTTCCTACCCCACAATTTGTTACTACTTTGCGGCCACTATATAGTTTGCGTCACTAGATTCAAAGATAGTGACCATAACTTGTGATACCATTAGGTTCGTCCTAAATAGTGGCTTTAATGACCATTATTGCACAGTCATTATATAATATAGCCACTAAATGGGGGTTTTCCTTGTAGTGAATGAAGCGGATAATCAGATAAATAGACATGGGCCATTCTGATAACAGGTTCTTCATCGTATTATATGATCAAACTATTGTAGTCTTGAATCTCAAGTCTTCTGACAATGTGTCATGGTATTTCCTTTCACACAAAAAAATCAAAATCAAATATCAATAATAATAACAGTAACTAAATGATATAATCATTTTGCAGAATTTTATTTTTCGTAAGTTACAAATGGTAACCATTATCTCACCAATCTACCACGTTGAATGACATCAGTGTTCATGACTACGTTGAAAGTATTTTGATCACTATTAGACCGTATGTAGTCAATTGTGTCAACTTCACCTGCAACAGTGAATTAAAAATTCAGATAAAGTATAAAAGGATAAATGTAATCAAATAAACTTCTTTTGCATATGAAATGTAAATTGATCAAACCTTCAGATGAATCTGAAGCAGATATATCCTGGTCACAGCAGTAACCTTCACTGTTGAAAACCCTTAACTTAAAGTATAATTTCCCTGTGTAAATGAATATTACATTTACACATCATAGATGATTAAAGTAAAGATAATGAAATTCTTCCCACATGTTGCCTTCAAAACCTACAGGTTCACCCTGTTGTGTATATATATTAAAATTCCACTGTTTGTGTTTATCATCAAGGACCAGTAAAACAGTTTGATTCAAAGGCCAACCTATAGCCCTAAAGTACTGTGGGTTAATACCCTACGATTGAAAAACATAGACAATCAGGACAATAAATTTGTGTACTAAACAGATTTTAAAAATAAAAAACCTAATTAGAAGCTGAAGGTATAATTTAAACTTACACATCGGAGAGCATTGTTAGGATTTAATTCCAAAAGGTACCGATGTCCAATGTTTGCATCAAGGTCAGGGGAAAATCATTGGCATCCATCGTGATTAAAATTAAATAAATGCAGAACGTTAGAAGACTTGTGATAAACAACATGAATCTTAGATTGAGGAAAAACACGATGGCTGCAAATAACTCCTCAAGTGCAGATCCGTATACTTGACACCTTTTTTTCTAATTAATATGCATATTTGCAAAAACACTGCAAATCCCTGGTACTTCAATCATGATTTGTTGCCCAACATGTCTTAAATTTGCAGTGAGGTTACTGCTAAGTATCTGGAAAAAGAGATAAAAATTACAAATCATAAAAGTCATTAAACTAAACTCATAATTGAGATTGTATCATATACTTACCAATCCTTTTGTTCGAATGTTTGCTGGAACTGAAACCAATTGATCATAACCATAATCCATTTTGTTTGCTGATATTCAACCTGTTCTGCTTCTCAAACCTGCAAACTACTTTTGCGTTTATGTTTTGTTTAAGACTGAATTTGGGTTATATGTGAATATATGTTTTTAGTCTGTATTTATATACCTATTTAAGATCCCTTATAATTAGGAGTTTATTAGACTTAACTGTTAAGGAATGAAACTCTGTATATTATTTTTTTATTTATTAACAACCAATCAACTCCCAAATAATTGATTATTTTACCAGTCTTTTAGGGATAAAACATTTCAATTATCTGTCAATTGTATCCACGTTCACATAAAAGTCTTTCAAAATTGATCAAATTTAAACTTTTTAAATTCCAATAAATATATTAATTTTATAGAGACTTTTCAGGATATGAAGATTCAGTTAACTTATCCACTCTGAAATATTCAGTTCAATCCGTGTGTATCTTTACCATTTTATCTAGATTGAAATATTTAGTTCAATCCGTGTGTATCTTTACCATTTTATCTATATAGTATTAATTCAGCAGTGAAGGGATAGGAGCTTCATATTCCTAATTTCTCGTATTTCAACATGTAAGAAACTATAAAAATATGAATATTAAGTATCAACTTAATACTACTCTTCATTATATTCAATTATAAGTGAAGCATCTAGAACACATAAGTTAATTGATATTTACACGTGACCATCAGTTATTCACAGAGACAATTGGTTTTCATCTTGAGAACTTTAACTCTATGAAATTACTTTGAAAAAAAAATTTAATGTTGCAGTTTGTTAAACAAATATTTACATTCATAACAAACACATTATGATAAACAGGATGAATGGAATTCAAATGTAACATAACATAATTATCAAAACAGATAGTTGAAATCAAAAGCAGAAATGATAAAAACTTATGATTTGTAAAAGGATAATGTTCCAATAAAACTTAAACGAAATAATGAAAAGTTCTCAACAGAATCAATATTCTGGACCGGGAACCATCTAAACACCGAAAGGTGTAAACTTTATTATGAAAACAGTAAATTGCTACCATTTTTTTTGTTTAAAATCACAGCTTTCTGACCCGCTTGTTGGGGTGAGACTTGACACTTTCTTCACCTTCATGTGCAATTGTAAACTTTTTAGGAGGAGGACTATCGGCCGAATCATCTCCAAGCAACACCAAATCAGTTTCATCAGAGCACAAAACAGCTGTCTGGAATTCCAACGTTGTGGTAAGTTATCAAGCATGTATTTTTCATTTAAAATAATAAACATTTTGATATTTTAAAGGTATTCAAACATATAAAATACCTTAGCATTGCTGTCCTGATTGGAGTCACAGAGTGATAGAATTGTGCACTTAGCTCTGGGTCAATGTCCTGGAACATTTAAAAAGTTGTCACATAACTATAATCACAATATGTATGTATATGTGTGTATTGGTAAACAATGAAAGTTAACATGATCATCAGAAACAGTTTCGAGGTACTTCTTTATAATTTCATGATCAGTAGCAATCCTTGCAATAGATATCTCACTTGTACTGTTCCTAATATTGTAATTGGACACATCCAGCCTGAACAAACACTTTCTCCCCACAATCTCCTCTAGGATATCAGGGTAATCTTTGTTTCCCTATATAGGTTATCAATAGGCATCTCGTGTAAGTAATCAACATTTGTATACTATTAGATGCATCGTAATCATCAAGTAAAAAAACTTAGTGAAACATATTGAAGTATACCTCCTGAATTAGTTCGGCAGCACTCTTGTTTATGAAATTGTAAAGCATCCTGTCCCAAAGTGTAGCAATCCTACTACCTGAACCATCAAGAACATATACCTGCAGTTTGAATCTGAAGTAGATTGAACAGATAAAAATTAATAAGTGATTGTATAATTAAATTAAATAATAATTGAAACTAAAATGGATAAACAATCTATAATGCTTAGTATATTGTTTATACTTTAAAGCAGAAACAGGTCCGTGACTGCTGCACATCCATTTTTTTGGACACAAAATTGCCTTTCCATTATCTGTCTTTCTGCTTTTTACAAATGATGGCTTTTTATTTCCTCCATTGTTCTTCTCAGCATCTTCTATCTCAAAAACCTTTCTGTTACAGACGCTGCAACCTGTGTATGACCATTCATTTTCCTTTGCTAATCCACTTATCTTAGCAAATACCACATCGTTGCAGCCCTTTAAACAAAAAGATTGCAGAATGATTAAGGTATAAATATTATAATTTGTAATGATATTTTATAATATCAACTCATTACCTGATCCAATTCGCTAATTCCAGACAAAGTTAGCATCTCTGCATCAGAGACAAAGTCTTCGAACGTTATGTAACCTGAAATTGAAGACAGTAGGGAGATCTTCTTGATTCTTGCACTTTTTATCTCTTCTTGCTTCATCCTATAGAGGTAAGTATATTGTTAAATTATAGCATACATTTTTGAATATACATGTTTTAAAATCACTGTTTTGACTTGTGTATGCAAATGAGAATATTTAACATTACTTGTGTTTGTACTCGTATATGTCAGCAAAGTTCATATCATTGAGGTATATCCTACCATTTTATAATATCATCAGTTATTCACATAGAGATTTGGTTTTCATCTTGAGAAATTTAACTCTATGAAATTACGTTGATAAAAAAAAATTTAATGTTGCAGTTTGTTAAACAAAGATTTACATTCATAACAAACACATTATCATAAACAGGATTGCTGGAATTCAAATGTAACATAACATAATCATCAAAATAGATAGTTGAAATCAAAAGTAGAAATGATAAAAACTTATGATTTGTAAAAGGATAATGTTCCAATAAAACTTAAACGAAATAATGAAAAGTTCTCAACAGAATCAATATTCTGGACCGGGAAACATCTAAACACCGAAAGGTGTAAACTTTATTATGAAAACAGTAAATTGCTGCCATTTCTTTTGCTTATCACAGCTTCCTGACCCGCTTGTTGGGGTGAGACTTGACACTTTCTTCACCTTCATGTGCAATTGTAAACTTTTTAGGAGGAGGACTACCGGCCGAATCATCTCCAAGCAACACCAAATCAGTTTCATCAGTGCACGAAACAGCTGTCTGGAATTCCAACGTTGTGGTAAGTTAGCAAGCATGTCTTTTTCATTTAAAATAATAAACATTGTGATATTTTAAAGGTATTCAAACATATAAAATACCTTAGCATTGCTGTCCTGATTTGGATTCACAGAGTGATAATATTGTGCACTTAGCTCTGGGTCAATGTCCTGGAACATTTAAAAAGTTGTTATATAACTATAATCACAATATGTATGTATATGTGTGTATTGGTAAACAATGAAAGTTAACCTGATCATCAGAAACAGCTTCGAGGTACTTCTTTATAATTTCATGATCAGTAGCAATCCTTGCAACAGATATCTCACTTGTACTGTTCCTAATATTGTAATTGGACACATCCAACCTGAACAAACACTTTCTCCCCACAATCTCCTCTAGGATATCAGGGTAATCTTTGTTTCCCTATATAGGTTATCAATAGGCATCTCGTGTAAGTAATCAACATTTGTATACTATTAGATGCATCGTAATCATCAAGTAAAACAACTTAGTGAAACATATTGAAGTATACCTCCTGAATTAGTTCGGCAGCACTCTTGTTTATGAAATTGTAAAGCATCCTGTCCCAAAGTGTAGCAATCCTGCTACCTGAACCATCAAGAACATATACCTGCAGTTTGAATCTGAAGTAGATTGAACAGATAAAAATTAATAAGTGATTGTATAATTAAATTGAATAATAATTGAAACTAAAATGGATAAATAATCTATAATGCTTAGTATATTGTTTATACTTTACAGCAGAAACAGGTCCATGACTGCTGCACATCCATTTTTTTGGACACAAAATTGCCTTTCCATTATCTGTCCTTCTGCTTTTTACAAATGATGGCTTTTTATTTCCTCCATTGTTCTTCTCAGCATCTTCTATCTCAAAAACCTTTCTGTTACAGACGCTGCAACCTGTGTATGACCATTCATTTTCCTTTGCTAATCCACTTATCTTAGCAAATACCACAACGTTGCAACCCTTTAAACAAAAAGATTGCAGAATGATTAAGGTATACAAATTATAATTTGTAATGATATTTTATAATATCAACTCATTACCTGATCCAATTCGCTAATTCCAGACAAAGTTAGCATCTCTGCATCACGGGCAAAGTCTTCGAATGTTGTGTAACTTGAAATTGAAGACAGCAGGGAGATCTTCTGGATTCTTGTACTCTTTATCTCTTCTTACTCCATCCTATAGAGGTAAGTATATTGTTAAATTATAGCATACATTTATGAATATACATGTTTTGAAGTCACTGTTTTGACTTGTGTATGCAAAATGAGAATATTTAACATTACTTGTGTTTGTACTCGTATATGTCAGCAATGTTCATATCATTGAGGTATATCCTACCATTAAAGAGGTTCGTTGTAGCCGAAACTTTTGCTACATTAACACAGCAAACAGTATAAGGAATACCCCATAGACATTTATGATAACTGAAATCTATGTCTTGAAAACTTACAATAGTACTTTTTACACTTGACATACTGCACAATCAAAACAACAGGATATTCGGGATCATTATTCATACAATTGAGAACACGGTCAGGGTGTTCTTCCCAAAGAGTAACCTTCAACGTGTCCGCTCTGCATATATGTATACTCTGTTAATAATATATAGACTATTTATATGTTGGCTAAAAATCAAAAAAGAATAATGTATTTTAAGAAACCATGTAAAAATGTATAGCTTTCATCCTCTAGTTGCACAGAAATCCTATTCTTACCCTTTTCAACAATAGGATCACTGTAGCCAATGATGTGTCCTATCAAATCTGAAAGAAAAGGGGTAATTTGTAAAGGTATTTACTTACAAAATAGTAGATTAAATGCTGCAGGTATACATGACAAAAATATGTAAAAATCTCATTACAAATTATAATTCATACTTACCACAACAATAGTCAAAGTTGGCAACAAAATTCGTAATTTCTGCAAAAGGAGTGTACTCAAATACATGATTAGGTATGTCAAGGTCAACAGCTTGTTCAACCAAAGTGTCAGATCCAAACACAATTTTATACTCGTGTTTGGAGCAATGGTAACCTCCATTTATGTTAAGACAGTGATCAAAACGTGACAACCTCCTGCAAACACCTTCATTTTTAAAGTACTTAACAAAATCTTTCATGATTCGAGCAGGTATGATAGCCTGGATCTTGGAACCCTGCATGGTTAAAAAATTTATATATAATGTACTTAAACATACACATAGAGTGATGTACATTAAAGAATGTTTTTTAAAAAACAAAGAAATAAAAATACCTGAGCATCAATCAAAGACAATTCAAGTGATTTGACATCCTTCTTATTTTGAGTATCATACATTTTCCATATAGTCGTCACACGAACGACAATGTTGAAATGGATGCTTTTGGTTGGCACCAACCCATTGATGTCGACAATGTACCCTTGTGCAGCAAGCTGTGGGACGGGAGGAGTAACAGCAGGAGTTCCACTTTGAACAATTGGATTCACAACAGGAATTGCAATATGGGATCCATCAACAGGGGTTCTTGATGAAGCCACTGATGTTTGAACGGGATGAATTTTCTGTGCAGTATCCATCAGAAAGGATTGTGACTTCTTTTCTGTGAGTGATAGAATTTTCTTGTGGTTCTTTTATAAAGGCTTTGATTTTGATTGAATGATCCCTATGCACGTATATATACAGATATTTTATCACGATGTGAAGATATGCCATGGATATATGAAGGTAAGTATATCTTTGTGATTTTGAACTTCCCTGCAAAACTGGAGAAGATGGAGAAGAAATATACACACACAGTCTGTTGTAGAGATATAGATGAATCAATCAAAATTCAAAAGTAGGGATGATTATCTTGTAGATATTTCGTTTATAAATGAATCACATGAAGTGAATTTATTTTATTTTGATTTTCAAATCATATAGTTGATTGTACTGTACATTAATTACAAGAATTATCTTGGAATATAGATGCATTGCTTAATTTTAGGAATAGAGAATATTCGATTTCATGTAATTATAGTTAATTAACCAATGTAATCCGTGTACATTTCTTTTTTTTACATTTCTGTTACTGATAGTTCAGTAAAATCATTTGTATATATGAAGATATGATTTTGATTATGTAACTGCAAGTTACAGGGGAAACATGCTTATCTCCCTGATTTGTTGGTGTAAATTGGACTTTTTCTAATTATCTTATGTAAATTTAAATTAGCTATGGGTTTCCATATTTTATCTCAACATATTTTTTGGCATTTTTTTTGCAGGGTTTTTTTAAGACTAATTTTTATCTCAAAATCTAGAGCGTCACATGTTAATTTTCATTTTGTACTAAAAAAGGCTTTTGGAGGAAAAATTTTCATTGTGGAGCTGATATGTGTCCTTTTTGTTTGCTACTTTAATCAAGTACAATGGATTACAAGTAAAAAGTTGAGGATTCAATTTCTTTTCATTTCAATCTCCTAAATTTTAATTTTTAAAAATTGATATTTATTCACCATTATTATTATCTTCATTAAAAGTAACCCTAATAGTTTCGACTATCCTTTCCTTGCAATTTTTTTCATTTCATTCTCTTCAATTTAACCTTTTGACGTTCAAAGAAATATTCTGTACTATTCCCTTCATCTTGTAAATAACCCACATTTATATTGTTTTGAAAACTCAATGTAAACTATTTTGTTGAGACAGAGAAACAACTTACTGATGTTAACCATGTCCCTCTTCTACTGCACTAGGGTTAACATGATGCGAAGGTTTTAGTTTTGTATTTAAATATTAAATTAGAATCAATCATGAGTTTAAAAATCTGCAAATGGTCATTTGTAAATTATCTCAAACTAAAGAGTATTCTATATGTCATTTTTTTTTCTTTAGTTCAGTCAGTTAAAATTAGATATTTTTGCTCAGTCACCTGAAAACAATCTGGTAGTATCAGGATCCTATTCACAATTCTTTGAAAACAGGAAAAAGAAAAGGAATAAATCATAGTTCTCAAAGTGTAAGCAGTTCGTGATTTTTCCAAATCTTTAGAGAAGTCAACTGTATACTAAATCCATCCACTTTTCCAAATTTCTTCCCATTACTTCTTTTCCACTTTTTAGGTACGTTATTTTTTCAAAGTACTTTTTTTTCCCCCTTTTATTTACATTAAAAACGTGCACTAAAAGAGTTTTCAGAGAACCGAACCTAAGTGTTGATTAGAGTTGGGCAGTATTGCTTAGGGTTTAGAGTTTAGTATTTACATTAAAAATACACATGCACTAAATAAGTTTTTCAATGAAGCTAACTTTTAACTGTTGCTTAGAATTGGGCAGTAATACCCTCAGAGCTAATCTCAATCATATCAGATTTTTAAAAAAACCGGGAGACTTGCTTTTGATGAAAATAAAAGAGCAGTAAATGAAAACAAGCAAAATTGGAGAGAATACTATGTTTGGATGGTTTTTAGTAAGTTTTTTAAGAATTAAATATTGATAAATGTCTCATCCTAATATATTTTTTACATTTTCAAGACATTTTTTTTTACATTCTCAATAAAAAAAAACACAAAAAGACACTAAAAAATCCAAACATACTATGATTTAATGAATATTATTATATAATATACAACTGCATCATCGATCTAGGCTAAAAATAATTTACTTACAAGTCAAATAAGCAACCGTATCTTTACTTTGATTTTTCTTTTTTTAAAAAAAAAAAAATTGAATGGCCCAAATAAAAATTGAACCATCGATCTCCTGATAATAACCATTTCTATTTTGATTTCTTAATCACTTCACCCATCCCTCCGTTGATAACAAAGGATATATCCACGTGATGTTTTCATATACTTTTTTAATACGAGGAAGGTAGCTTAATAACCTTGAACATGCAAGGACATATGGGTGGACAAAATATACAGCTTGGGGGGTACAAATGTGGTACCAAAAAATTAAATAAAAGTTCTTTGAGGCTAGGCCGAAATAAAAGGTATCAAACGAGGATGGTGCCAAAAGTGAAATAAAAATTCCATGAATCAAACGAGGATGGTCCATATGAGAGAACCCATTTATATTTTCAACTCTTCAATCCTCTTCTGATCGCACGCTTAAATAACTACATGTAAGTTTTTCATAAAAGGTAAATTTTTTTAAAAAAGCACTGAAGTAAGATAAAACAACAACAAAAGAATTTCCCACCATTACTTTTTAGTGAACCATAATAATCATCACTAAACTATCAAAAGTATCACTGTTCAGAACTAAAATGCTTTTTTTCCCATGACAGTTTGATATAAACGTGAATAGCAGAGGGCAAACCAAGATATTCCATATTCTCCCTTATATGCACGAATCAGAAGAATTCTTAAATCAGAGGAGTTGTTTTAGTACACAATAGGTGACAAAAATTTTAAATCATGAAATCATTAGATTGCGCAGATAAAAAAATTTTAATTAAGAAGTATTCTAGGTAATCGTGATTAGAGCATGATCTCATTGGGATTGTATATCCTCGTAATGTAATGCACGTGTTTGATACTAGACAATTTGCCCCTTTGATTGTTACCAATATTTTAGAAGTCTTTTTTCGAAGTACTAAATTAGCAGGAAAATAGTAGAAAACTCGCATAGACCAACAAAAGGATACCTCCAACTAGAAAACTCTCTGTCATGCTTTGTCTTTGTTAATGTATTATAAGATTTACCATTTTTTTAAAAAAAGGGGGTTAAACTTAGACGGCAAATTATCTACCTAGCTAGTTTATGAGATCTTTGGATGCAAGAGAAGCTGAAAATCGGATGCACAATTCGACCTAATATTTTTATGTTTGGTTTAGTCTTCTTTTGCCTCACAAAAATAGGCCAATAGCATTTGTACTGAAACAGTACAATTTACAATTCACATGTAAATAATGTTTTTGTTTTAGAAGGCAGGGAATACAACCAACCAAGGAAATTGGGGCTATAATAGGCACATGTAGAAACACATCAGACTCGACCATCTATATATCCTTGAAGGGAAAAAAATATATACTTCATTGGGTTAGTAAAAAAACATGAACAGAAAGAGTTCAATCCCGGTGGCCGGCGGCGACGGCGGGGCAGCTATGATGCTCTTTCTCGGAGCAGCAATAGTGCTGTTTCTGTTGTCTTCTTTTACCACAGATGCACAGATTAACAACATATTTTGTTGCAGAACCTGCGAGACTGTAGCCGACGTATGCTACGCGAATTGCACGGCAAACGGAGTTCTGGTTCCCACCTCAGCCTGCGTCGCTGCCTGCGGCCAAAACTACAATAGCTGCGCCGCTCCATGCGGCACCTGCGCTCTGGCGGAATCGGTGTTTTGTTGCCAAGACTGCAGGCTTAAGAACCAAATCTGCTATGACAATTGTGTTGTCCAGGGCTCCGGGAGTGCCCAGCCTGGCTGCGTCTACGATAATTGCGTTACCACCTATGCCTCTTGTACCGACGCCTGCCCCGGCCGTTGCATCTGATCGACGATTGATCGGCGGTCCGATTGGATGAAGAAGAGGTGACAAGATGAAGGAGAGGAGGTGTTAGTTTATTTTCTTTTGAATTTAATTTTCTGTTGGGAATAAAATGCATGGATGCATATTAATATTATACGTATGCATGCATGCATCATACGTAACCGTATGTGTCCTTTGCTTTGCACTTCGAGGAAGGTTTCTTGTGTGTATTTAATTACTCCTTCTGTCGCAAAAGAATATCTAAACTCTAAACCCTAAAAAATACCTAAATCCTAAACCCTAAATAATGAATACAATTTTTCTTGTCCTCCTATTTTGTTAATGGATCTCCTTCTACAGTAATCTAGAGTTCTAGACTAATGAGTCATTCTTTATTTCTCCGTATCCGGTGCCAATAATCGTTATGTATCGAATTTCAGCTGCTCTGGAATTGCCTCTACGTCTGATTAATTTTTCGCCGATTTCCATGTAGACCCTTGTGGGCTGCAGGCTCATCAATTTAATTCGGGTGCCAGTATGATGTCCAGAGTTCGTCCTCCTCTTGTTCTACTGATCTGGTTGGCTTAGAAATTCGAAAAAGTTCGGATCGAATTGAATGGAATGAAGTGCAGAATTAAGCACATGACATTTATTGAAAATCCCTTCGTGGGATACTTTGAATGTTGCTTTACAAACTGGGATGTAAACTTGACAGCAAAAAGCACGAAAATTATTCATTTTTTCTTCAGATTTGGATGGTTTGGAACGAGCTCATTTAGTTGCGTTTTGTTTTTAATATGTGTTTTGCTCTCTTTCAAGCTTTGTCCCACATAATAAAAATATAAAACATGAATAGCTTTGTCCCACATCGACGGATTGCTGAAAGTTGGGGAGGACGGAACGAAATAAGATAGGGAGGAGCGGATCGTGATAACATACTTACCTGGACGAGGTCAATGGGTGATCAAGAAGGCCCATGGCCTAGGTTGGTGACCTCCATCGCACTTTGGAGGGGTGCCCGCCTAAGGTCTGCTCTTTGAGCGGAGCCTACGTCATAATTTGTGGCAGAGGGGGCCTGCGTTCGCGCGGCCCCTACCCAATTCCAAGCCTAAATGTTTC